TTCGGCATCTTGTGCTTACTTCCTTGCGTACGGATGACAGCTGCGTATGAATTAATTTATTTTCTGGTGCTTTCACTTCCAGAGACAGTTGTAAGCACTGTGTAACTGCCTCGAGGGTGCTTGACCATTTTAACACAACGTGGTGCGATCATCCCCCTTGCGCGGAGCGAGTGTTCTCCATCCCGCACAACATGATCTACTCGAACTAGGGGGGTTACTCATGTCTTCAGCGGTTGGGCCATTGACCACGCGTCCTCGAGCGCTCACGGTGCATTACGGAACCGAACCAAAGCGAGACTACTGTGCCAACTGGTTGGGGAGCCCCCATGAAGATGAAATCCTACACAGTGGGGGTTGTCCCGAAATGAAGTCGGCGACATATTTCAAAAACCCGGCATGATGAAACAACCTTGACACTCCATCTGTGTCAACGCGATTCCACCGGCATCACCAGGTACCCGGCATCATTTACCCGGCACCATATCGGGACCAGAAGTATACATCCAGTCCGCCGATGGACAAACGCCACCAATTAATGCTCACCATGTCGTAGCGGACTGGGAAGCACTGCTCGTGCAATCGCTTCACCTCCACTAGGTCATCGGGCTCCATGGGTCTCATTTCCATCCCCAGCTTCGAGGGGGGGGAACCAGCAGCAACAACAGCAGAGAACACATGCAATACGTCAGGGGAACGTTACACATGGTCTGAGCGGGATGACACGGCTTGTGCTACACGCTATGTTTTGTCGACGACATTGACGGTGTTGTTGGTGGTGATGATGATGTCTTTAATGCAGGAAACCATCTTCATAATCTTTCCGGGTGCCATCTTCGCTCTCGTGCAACCGAAAAAAAAAACGTGGTATGCGGTGTCAAAAAAAACGCAAACAAGTCGATAGGGGTCTACGCAAGAATGATTCGACTACATACCGACTTGCCACTTTGTTCTTGTTGTTGTTGTTGTTCGTTGAGATTTAGCTGGGCTGTTCGGGTCGAAAACACGTCAGCTGTTTCGTGAGCTGTGGAGCTTGGGACGATACGCAACAGCTGGCAGTCAGCTGTGATTTGGCCCTGCTGCCTGCTTTCGCTTTCGTGCTGGGCTGTTCGGCTCAAAAACACTCCAGCTGCTGTGGGCTATTGTGCTCGGGAAAACAGTCACACGGCAGCTGGGAGCAGCTGGGAGTTGGTCTGCTGCCTGCTTAACCCCTTTTGAGTCTGGAGTTTATAGTTTTGAGAGAGTGCGGGAGAGAGACGTGCGGGACATAGAGACAACTGCATTTCTGTAGCCGCAACAGCTATCTCCACCATTAGGCCATGAGGGCAGCCCACGACAGGACGGCGGGCACAGAAAGGGTCAAAGAAGGGTTGATGCGTGGTCACCGTGCCGCCGGTAGGGCAGGTTAGGCTTGTAGACCTTGAAAAGATAGTCATCAAGCTGCCTAAACTGCTCTACTTTCAGTGTATTCAAGTGTTTAGTGAAAATCATCAGTGAGAGGGGTTGTAGACCCACACCTGGTTCTTGTTCTTCTGTACTTCTCTGTCCCCTCCCCCATGTGAGCCCTGCCGGCTCACTACAGCTCCTGTGATGTCCCACAACTCCCACAAGCACGCAAGCACGCAAGCACACCAGCACACACCTACCTCTGCATCAGTGGCTCTCTATTATAATAGGTTCTGGCGAGGTAATTTTTTAATTTTATATATTTAATTTTTTCTCCCATCGTTGGACTCTGTCGTCTGCCCCTCTGGCCCCTACCCTCCACTTCTACTAGCTAGACGACCCAACCGGGGTCACATAGGAGGGGGGGGCTGGACCCCCTCCTGCGGTTCCTGCCTAAGGTATTTTTATCGCGAGAAGGGTACAGCAATCCCTTCCCTCGCGACTCACGAAGTCTATTATGGTTTACTAACAACGAGCTTTGCAGCGCGTAGCTTTCATCTAGACCAGGATTTATTTAGAGAGAAAAAAACTCACTCTGTCGGGACTCGAACCCATGACCTGGCCCTTAGCAGGCTGCGAGGTTACCCACTAGGCCGCCGGGGCGACCGGTTCATTTATGTGGGGCTATGATGATAGAATATACTCTGTATTACTATGTAAATTGGACTTGTGTATAGTGCTGCTGCTGTTGTGTAGTATGCATATAGCTGCTGACACGATGACTGCTGGATCTTGGGATGTATGATTTTCAAATTTGGAGAACATGCAGCAAACCGTGATATCCTGGCCTGATTGGGCTTGAAATGCCCCGTTTTGCTGCCTCCGCTCGTGCGTCGTGGCTTCTAGATTCAGGTGAGGTTATGTATGTGGAGTTAGTGATGTGTGTTCATATTTCTGTGAAAGTATATGGGGAGAGATTCGGTGTGGCATTCGCATTTAGTACGTTGTGCATTTTCTTAATTTTGGTACCGTTCCAGGTACGTTGATCGTACCCGCTGGCACTAATAGTCTAAATCTCTTTTCATTGGTCACCGGTTAGCGCGGTTGATGCTAATAATAAAGACCTACAGCTATGGGCTTGGCAACGCCTAGCGTGGAGGGATACAGGGCAGCAAGTCCATGGCATGCCAGCACACCAGCATTTCCAAATGTCAACCAACGATCTGTCAGGATGCCTGTAGACTGCTGTGGACCCAAAAGGGTTAAGAACAGTTCCGCCGGTCACTTCAAAAACTTTTTTCGGCCACAGCAACGTGGAATCCGAGCAAGCGAGGACGCAGGCAATCTAGCCTGCAGAATAGTAGCGAAGAACAAGGAAGTGGACCTGACCAGCGCTGTTGTGAACTACAAGATATTCGCGTGCAGCACTAACCGCGGGTAGTTCGCACCGAATTAGCGACGTAATCCATCGCTTTTGCGCAATATTGCAAGGGTCGGTTTGGTACAGTACATACTATTGGTACAGACAGTTCCGCCGGTCACGTCAAAAACTTTTTTCGGCCACAGCAACGTGGAATCCGAGCAAGCGAGGACGCAGGCAATCTAGCCTGCAGAGTAGTAGCGAACACCAAGGGAGTGGACCTGACCAGCGTTGTTGTGAACTACAAGATATTCGCGTGCAGCACTAACCGCGGGTAGTTCGCACCGAATTAGCGACATAATCCACCGCTTTTGCGCAATATTGCAAGGGTCGGTACATTAATATTGATATTGTCATATGATTACAGTACAACCTTGGAAATACCATGCTGCCACTGGTGATACTACTACTGCTGTAGAGTACTACTCTAGTTAGCCACGTGATTTGACGTCTTCGTAGGTAGACTTTAGTCTTTCGTCTCCCCGTGCTGAAAAAACGCTCTAAACATCGTCGGCGCCAGCAGTTGCGCCGCAGTACTGCTTGTAGTACGGCTATGAGTAGTTACAGCAGCGCGAGTACCGCGGATACCGCGGGATCAGATGCAACTAAAACTATGTAAATACTAGACGACAGGATTCGTGTTTTGAACACACCCCGTTCCGCGTAAACATTATTTAGACAACTCCAGTCGGCAGCGAAGAAGAAGGACAGCATGTAAACAAACTCCACGACACTAGACGAGAAACAAAGGCACACTTGGCGATGGCCCATTCAACCTGTCAATACAGGCTTGAGAGGGGCTCCGGCAAGAGGCTGTCACGGTCTACATCATCAGCAGAGAGAGGCCGCTCTCAGCGGTGGATGGATTTCACAGCAAGTGCGTTGCCCTCGCGACGATCTCTGAAGGTGTATTGTAGTCTACAGCTCTCACCGGCAAGGAACCTTCCATTGGATCATCGCACTCGCAAGGGGGGTACTCGATGTCGCATTCATTCATTTCTCCGTGTTGGGCCGGCGACGGCGACTGCGTTGGTGGCCAGCACCAGCTCCCACCAGATCGCCCGACTCCCGGTTCGAGAATACACATGTACCTGTTGACACGCTCCCAACCGACGTCCCCCTGGCGAAAGGTATCAAATATCAAGGTATGCGTACGCTGTTTCAAAGGTTGCAAGGTTGCGTGTACAGCAGTTATCAGCCCGCACTTTCTGCTTTGGGCTGGCACTACGTATGCTAATTCGTCAAGGCAAAGCAGCACAGCAGCGTTCTTGTGACCAGTGTTCGCTCTCGCGCGGCATCCCTCTCTCTCAGTCTCCCGACACACCCTAGTTAGGGTTTTCAAGGCATGGCGGAACGAGCTTCTCCGCCAAGTGCGGGAGGATCTGCTGCCACTGGCACACGGCCCAAGACAACAAGGGCAGGGGGAAGTCGAGAGGGCGGCTTGGCAGGCCCGAGTGTTGACACCGATATGCGTAACAGGAAGAGGCTGCTGGCCGATGCGGCGAAGATTCCGTCGACTGGCGATGAGTCGCTCGGAAGCTTCCTGGACCTGGTGAAGTCAGTGCAGTGTATCCACATTTTCCAGGTTTGAAATTTGAAAATTGCGACCATGTGTCATGATGGTGGCTGTCTGTCTGTCTGTCTGTCTGTCGGTCGGTCTGTCTGTCCGTCTATCTGTCTGTCTGTCTGTCTGTCTGGCTGTCTGTCTGCCTCATCACACACCGAGAGAGGGCCCAATCGCGCGTGGTTCACGCCCTACGGACGATGCCAGCGCCCAGAAGAGTACCTCACTGTTTGGATGCGTTTCGTGCCTGCTACGTAGCCTTTCGGGTTCGTTTGCATTGTAGCCTATATAAATAGCACCTCAACCCACACGCAGAAACCGAGTCCGGCTCTTAAACACGCTGTTCGCACCTGTAAGTGTCTTGTTTAGGTGGCATCCGAGATTCGATCGGATAGCGAACGGGGCCTGAGTGCTACTTTTCCAACACGAATCGCAATCTAACACGAGAAACAGTTTCCCTAGGAGTCACAAATGAGTGTTGCATGGAAACGTCGTTGTCCTGCGGTTGAAATCTTCGTGCTTGGCGCACGCCAAAATGTACACCTACCTTACGATATGTGCACGCGTACGGCCGTAACAACAGCTTGAGAGTAGCGCGGCAGGAGCCAATCTGGCCCCCGACACGCCCAGCTGAGTTTCCTTCATCACTCACGACCAACGGATAGACGCACCCCCCACCACAACCACGAGCAGGCGTCGCCCCCCATCTCCTTCGTGCAAGAAATGCTGGCCCATCTTCTCCGCCTGCTACCTCGGGCCGCCGCCACCCTCGATGGGGCTTCCACCTTCATCGCTTGCCTGGAACCGTTTGAGGTGCGCACCGTGCCCGCCTTTGGTCGTGTCTTGAAGCTAGACTGGGCTTTTCGGGGAATGAGTTTCGACGGGGAGGGAGGGAAGGGGAAGCGGGTTCGAGATGGGAAAACAAGGTTCGGTGTTGGACAGGGGTGGGCCTTTTCGTGTCATGAGGGCGACAACATGTGATGTGTTGTCGTTCCCGTTTGAGCTCAACAACAATATTTCGCATGTTGACCCTACTATTGCCGCCCCCCCCGGTGTGCGGGTTCGCAACGTGTGAGCGCAAGCGGTAGGAAATAGTGGACCAAGTAGAACAAAGCGATCTAGATGTAGTGGGGATCCAAGAGACGTGGGAATTGAAGGATGGGGACGTGGTAAGCAAACTAGGGAAATACCGGTGGGTAGGGAAGGCAAGAAAGGGCTTAGACCCGAAGACAAGGGGGGAGGGGGGAGTCGGATTCCTGGTCAAGGAGCACTTGTTTGACGTGGTGGAAGTAGTGGTGAAAACGGAGTTCGAGGAAAGCCTATGGCTTAAGATACCTGGGGAGCGGGGTGAGAAAAATTTGTTTCTAGGGAACGTATACGTCCCACCGTCGTCGAAGAAAGTCGCAAGCAAGGCGCAGGAGAACTTTGGACAAATTGGGGAAGATGTCCAGAGGTTCAGTAGGAAGGGAGAAGTTGTCATGGTGGGCGATTTCAACTCCAGAGTAGGGAAAGCTTCCAGTAGAGGACAGGCGATCGGGCAGCACGGAGAAGATAAAGTGAATGACAACGGAGTGAGGATGCTT